TTTTATATCTAAACATGCTAAAACATCGACTGTTTATGTACAAACGTTTTTATTCTTAGTAAGACAAATTATGTGTAAGCTGCATGTGAATTTCTGAATTTAATCTTTTCATTTTCGGCCAGTCGTTTTAAACCGATCCGTCTACGATGTCAGATGGGTTGTGTAGTACTTAGCGCTTTGTGAAAATTTCCGTTTATATCAGACTTGAGTATTTTCTTACTTTCGATCTGGAACTACTATCATTTTGCCACGTCTGGCTCTTCGCTTTCGAAAAAGCCGGTAGAAAATGAGCAAACGAGGTGATACAAGTGTTGCAAAGTCACTGCAGTCTGACAATTTGGTGACAGTGGTCAAGAAATTTTACGATGAGTACATGACATCCACTTCCAGGAAGCTGAAAATCGTGGATGCCTACCTCGTTTACATTCTTCTGACCGGTGTTGTGCAGTTCGCTTACTGTGCCATCGTTGGAACATTTCCTTTCAATTCATTTCTTTCTGGTTTCATCTCAACTGTTGGTTCCTTTGTTTTAGCTGGTATGATCTTAAAAACATTTCCCCCCATCTTATACTGAAGCCAATTTCAGGTTTGTTCGAATTTCCTCGCCGCGGGAATGCTATTTTTAATACAATACAAAATTTGCCCATTCAGTGTGTAGTATGAAATGAGTTAACATACAGTGAAAATTCATAAATACATATATAAGGAAAAACATGGCTGGAGTGGAAATCGAACCCGTCCCGGGTTCCCTGCATTGCTTGTCAGGTAGTTTAACCACTGAGCTATCCAGATTGATGTCCTCTGTCCACTGCAAATTCCTATAGATACACTTTTGAAAACACACAGTGTGATACAGTCTGTGCACTATGTGCATGACTTTCACACCAGAAACTATACATAGACATCTAGCTCACCTGAGCCAAAGGCTCATATCAGACCCCAAGGGTAGACTGGGGCCACAATGTTCTATGTTCAAAGTTATGCATTGGAATACATTGGAAAAATCTTTCAGGAAGGGATCTTTAAAAATCTCCAGGGGTAGGATGGGAATCACTATGGGCATTCAAAGATTTACAACTCTTATCAGGGGATAAATAACCTGTGTCTCTGGACAGGCCCTCATCACAGTTAGAATACCTCATACCTGCAATTAATATAGCAGAAAATTGCAGATTACCACTGAAACGCTTTGAAGAAAATAAATAGAGTTGCATTTTAAATAACTGTCAAATTAATCCTAACAAACCTTTTAGAAATGGATACACTTCATACCCTTCATACAAAAAGTAATCTGTAAAATGTCTTGTTGATAAGTATGGTAACATACATTGACATTAACCCATACAACAGCTCTCAGTGACAAGCAATTTTTTCTGCAATATCGGCGACATTAATTCCTGTACTAACCAAAGAAAGACATTTTATTGTTTATATTTACATCTGTATGAAAAAAAAAACATTCAAAGTAAAATTTAATATATTAAGTATTTTATTATTAATGAATATGTCATTGAATATAAACTAATGGAACAGCAATTGTTCAAGAAATATGGCCGGTGTAACATTGAATTTTGACGCGGGTTGAAAATTGACCAGGGGGTCATTTTTCAACGTTGAATACTGAGACCAGAGGTGTTGAATTTAGACCCTAATCCGTTGAAAACTGAACCGGGTCGTGGAATTTTGATCATGAAACCGGTTCTAAATTCAACAGCATAAAAACACATATTTATGACTTAGTTTTCACAACTGTAATTTAATCCATAGGAGTCGGGAGGAGGGGGGGGGGCGCTAGGGATGCTTAGCCCCCCTTTTTTGAACAAAGTGAAATTGGTTTAGTCCCCCCTTTCAACAGACACGTTACAGTGTTGTCAAAGAAAGAAGAGTAAGTGTTAGTGCTTGAAAAAAAATTGGATCTTACCCTCCCCCCTCCACCACCCCTTTTCTTTTTGTTCTTGTCATTTTTTTTTCAGATTAAATCTTTTTTTTATTTTTTAATTCCCCCCCCCCCCCCCCCCCCGCACTTTCAATTGGCTTCCGACACGCTAATGTTATCAATACACACTTAATTAAGTAATTCAGTTATATTCTTAGAATAAAATATTAACAAAAATATCTTAGATTTCAGAGTTACATGTAGCTTAAAATCCCAATATTTAGTGTAATATTTATTTTAAAAAATTAAGTACATTGTATAATTATGTAAATCCTGAATTTGTATACATAGTTACATAATCTTACATTACATAATATCCAAATTAATTTAGTTCAGAAATTTGTTTATCTATATTTGCTTTTTGTTAACAACACTTCATTTATTTAAAACTTAAAATTCGTAATATTAGTATTTGGGAAATGGTGAGCGTTTAACGCATGATGCACTGACGTACATTTTAATGCTTATTTAGTTAATGCACAACTTATTATGTCCAAAAGTACTGAATTCTACCTAAAAGTATCCTGAAGTTAATATTAAAGGAAGCTGGAGTTCCTTATCAACACTGTTTTTTCAGTCTTCAGAGACCAATTCTTCCTTCAAAACTTGGAATATTGATGGGTACTAATTGTGCTCCTTTATTGCCCGACCTGTTTTCATACTTCTATGGAGCAGAATTGGAATATATTATTTTAATAAAAAAACTTTACATGACAAGACCAAAACACTTGCTGTGGGGTTCAACTCAACATTTAGATACACTGGTGTCGTATGATCAAGTAACAATAGTTACTTTAGTTCATATGTCGACACAATATATCCCATGCAGTGAGCTTTAAATTAAAGTCACCACTGAATGTGCCACAACTGATTCATGTTTGGAAGTTTTACTGACTATGAAAAATGAAGGCCAACTGAAACTATACTGTATAAGAAAAGAAATGATTTCTTATTCATCTTTTCCAAAGTAAACTTTCCTTATTTGTAAATTAATATTCCGCTATCACCTGTTTATGGTATTGCGGGTAAAACGTTGCATTATTATACTTTTTCGTTATTCTTATTCAATTTTTAGTTCTACTGGTCAGAGACCAGAAGAGCTTAAGCGACAGTAATGTGTCCGGCGTCCGTCTAGCTGTCTGTCTGCCTGTAAACAATTTTTCAAAATGCTACTCCTCCTACAGTTTTGGTCTGATTTCAATATAACTTGGCACACAAGTAGACTACACTAAGGCACATATTCCTATTTATCGGTTTTTGGTTTTGATGAACGGTGTTTCCGTGGTTACTAAATATAGAAATTTCTGTGAAATTCTTTCAAAATGCTACTCCTCGTACAGTTTTGTTCGGATTGATTTTTGACTTTGATGAACATTTTTGCCTTGGCTACTAGAAATAGAAATTTCTGTTACTCTCAAAATGCTAGTCCAAATACAGTTTTAGTCTAATTATAATATAATGTGGCATGCAAGTAGACTACACTAAGAACATAAAGAGACTTAATCAAGGATCATTGTTCTATTTATTGCTGTTGAAAAGTTTCAATTCCCAACTGCTTAAGTACTTTTCTCTTCCTTTGCTATAAGTACAAACCAGTAGAGCTTCAGTCTCAACAGAGACCTCTGGTTTTTTTTCTAAATCATGTCATTTCTGTTCGATAAAATATCATTCCTATTCGATTAGTTGCTATTCTTGTGCGAAATATTTCGCTCGATCAATTTTTAAGCTGAGGCAGGCTACTGACAGATAAGTTTGTTACAGGGATTTCACCAAACTTGTTTAAAGTCAGCATTACTTACATGTTATAGTTGCTATATTGATCTTTTTCACAAATATAACCTATCACTGGATTCATTTTGGCCGATGTGTTTCATTCTAATTTTAAGGCTATTAATTTTTGTAAATTTTTATACTATACTGAATTTGACTAGATAGGATGTTCGGCACATCTGATGAATACATATAGGGCTCACTTTCTAGACACCAGATTTTCAGGATTTTTGCTCTATTCATAATTTTGTAGTTAATCATGGATGTTATGGATTTTAGAAAGTATTGTCAAAAAATAAAGTTGTCATGCTTGAATATAACGGAAATCGAGTACTGATCAAAATGTACATATATACACGGAATGATAGGTTTATTTCTATTATTCTTGAAAGGGGAAAAAATTGAAACCGAAATATAAATAATTATAGAGATACTGATAAATCCTAAAAAAAAAACTTCCTAGTTCGAAAAATGTTCAAACTCTGAGGAGGGGTCAATATTCAACAGGGTCAATTTTCAACTTGTCATCAGGAATAAGAAAAAAAATTATCAAGCTGTTGAAAAATGACCTTGGGTATAAATTCAATGACTTTTGGTCTCAATTTTCAACGGAGAAAAAACACCCCCGGTTCAATATTCAACGTTAAAAAATGAACCCCGGGTCAATTTTTAACACGGGTCAATATTCAACGTTACACCGGCTTAGTGTCTTTTATGCACTGATTAATGGCAATGGTCAGTCTGATTAAAATCAAACCTTCACTAGCTCCTTTTTATTGTTTTATTGCTTCACGTGACAAAACAATAAAAAGCAGCAGCTAGTGAAGGTTTGATTTTAATCAGACTGGGCAATGGTCTTCATAAGAAATAAAAGAAAAAAATATTCTGTGTATATAAATATATAATAATCATAATGTTCTAAGTAACTGTCTACTCCAAATAACTGTTCTGGGATGAGGTACCCTTGTCAGTGTTTTCATGTAGAAGTGGAATACAATAGATGTTTTAAATTTCACTATGTTCACGATTTAAGAATTTTCCACGAACTCTAAACCATCGATTTTGAATATTATTTCACTTCAATTTTAGTTAAAAACAGACAAAGTATCTGAATTCACAGTGAAATTAAAACCACTGTGAAAGGTAACTTTCGAACAAACTGAAATTTTAGACACATGTCTACAGTATTTAATACTGCAGTTCTGTATAGTAAATTACATTAATTGACACAGTATGGCAGTATTTGTAATAAATTTGTATTATTTATTTACAGTTTGTTTGAGGCTGCAGGTCA